TGTGAGGAGGCGGAGGAGCGTGTGTCCGGCCCCCGCCATGGAGGGCATGGACGTGGACCTGGACCCGGAGCTGATGCAGAAGTTCAGCTGCCTGGGCACCACCGACAAGGACGTGCTCATCTCCGAGTTCCAAAGGCTGCTGGGCTTCCAGCTGAACCCGGCCGGCTGCGCCTTCTTCCTGGACATGACCAACTGGTGAGCCGGCCCCGCCGCGCCAACGCTGGCGGCGGCCTCGGGCCCCGAGGGAAGCGAAGGGACACTCGAGCCTGGCGGCAGGGCGGGCCGGGCGGGCACTGACGGGCACCCCTTTTCTGGGGCGGGCAGGGCGAGTGGGGAAGTCCCGCGGCATACCTGGGGAGAAATTTGGGGGCTAAGCCGTGCTAGAGAGGCAGGAGGGGCGGAGTAGCGATGGGGGGGGTCCTCCCTGAGGGTGTCCGGAGAACCAGAGGCCAACAAACCCGCCAAAAGGGGAAAAGGTTGGGCATGGAGGCTCAGGAGCTGTAGACCTGGAAGGAAGAGGGTACAGTGTTGGCTGAGCAGAAAGGACAGGAAATTTGGCTTTGGGGAAGGGGAAAAAGACAGGAGTTTGGAGTTAGGGGTTGAAGATGACGGGGTTGCGGGGAAACGCTTGGGCAGGATAGGGGCCGTGGAGAGCCTGGGGCTCGGGAGGGATCGGAGTTAGGAGCTGAGAATAGAAGGTGTGTGTGTCTGTGTGTCTGTCTCCATCTGAGATAGGTAGGGAAGAGGGAAGAATGTTGTGGAGGGAAGACAAGTGAGTATGGTGAGGGAGATGACTTTCCAAAGAGCTGTGCCAGGGAGGAGTGGGGTCGGGTCAGGACCTGGGGAAAACCTTCAAAGGGGAAAGGGGAAGAAGGACTTGGGGAGAGCCAGCTTTCTGGAGGGACTGCAGCCCAGGGCAGAGGGCTTCAGCTGGGCATCTTTGAGGAAGGTGTCCAGAATACTGGGAATGGAGAAGGGCTTATCTGAAAGAAGACTGGGTTAGTGGACATTGGGAAAACGGAGAACTTGACTTAGGCAGGGAACCAAATGTTTTTTGGCTTGTAGTCACCTTGTTGGAAGACGCAGTTGGGGCAGAAGATTATCGCAGTTCACATAGAGTAAGAGTTTTTTTGGCTTTGAAAGTAGCACTTGTTATTTTTGATAAGTAAGCCTTCCTCTTGTTCTCTGAGGAGGTGGTTGAGTTCACTCCGGGTGAGGGCTGGAGACCATTAGACTTCCTTTGAAAGGATTTCAGGTGAAGCAACTAATCTTTCTTTGGACCAGAAGCAATGAGGTGAGTGCCCTTTACTCTGTGTTGGGCATTCAGTCTCCTGACATGTGGAATCTTGTTTCTTTTGGCATCACTTGCACAACCAACTTCCCCTTTATTCCATGTCTGCTGAATACCTCAAGCGATACCAGCCAAGAGGCTGGAAATCCAGTGTTTAATCCCGCTTCTCCTCACCTAGCCCTGTTCCCTATGATGCTCATCTGTTCCTAGGAGGCTCGTAGCTGTGGCTGCACGGAAGGTGATGTGTACATTTTTCTTTTCTATGCAGCATGTTTGGTGGGTCTTACTATTTTATCTCTGAAGCCAACTATTACAGCACGGGTGGAATAGAATTTCTGGATGTTTAGCAAACTCTTTGGGACATTGGATACAGGAGATCGTTTTTAGAATTAAATAAGCGTTTGTGATCTCCACTTGTACCTTTTATGTCCACATGGTCTCTGGCAGGGAATGTGACCTCCTCTATTTTGCACACCACCAATCTAGGGTGTTTAAATAGAGAATGACAGGGGCTAACACACCCAGAAGAGCTATCACCCTGGTGAAATTGAGAAGTAAAGTTTTAACTTGAGGACAGTTGTTCTCTTGCCTGCCTGCTTCCCATCCCCAGTTCTTTTTCTTCCTTGTTTACACTAGTTTAGCGTAGGAAACTTGGCAGGTTGTTGTTGCCAGTTTAGTAGGGGAAGATCATTATTTCTCCCCACCCCCTTGTGAATCAGACCATTTAACCATTGTCCTAATAAGCTTTGAGTTTTTTAGAGTATAAAGTGTTTTTAGTGTAGTTATTATAGCTACAAAACGAGTATAATGAATTTTATATTTATGTGCTTGAGATGCATGTTTAACATCTAAGATTGATTATTTTGAGGTGCTATGAGAAGTGAGCAGTAGGTGAAGCCTAGTGTGGGTAAGAAAAAATTACCTACAAATACAGTTGGATTATAATAATTCTGAGTTTTTTTCCTTATGAAAAACTAATAAGTTCCAAAAGATGGAGTAGCATTTATACTGATAACACGTTGTTACTGTGTTAAGCAAGATACAGTTCTGAGCAAAGGAGTAAGAGAGCCATTAAAAAATAGGTTCTGGTTTTAAAGCACTTGGAAGTTACTGGCCTCTTAGGAATCCTGACAGTTAAGTGATAATTCAACTTTTACGTCTTGTTACCTTGCTTTTTGGCTGTGGCCTGTTTCCTTGTAATCTTTGATTATAAAATGAAAAATCATTTATGGACTGAAAAGAAGTGAAAGCAGGAAGGCTTGTTCTTTTCTTTCTTAGGAAAGCTAGTTAGTGTTGTAACCCAATATTATGTTCACCTGGCTAAATTTATATTGACAGATTTTTTTTTAAAGTGCCTATTATAATTAATAAAATCTAGTTTTATATATATGCACACACATATGCACACACACACACATACATACTTGGTCAAAATATTTGTGTTGCTGAAGTAAATGTCTGGAAATGTGTTAAGTGTCATTTAATATTTAACTTTGGCAGCTGTTGAAGTAGTCTCTATGAAGTCTCTCAACTTGCTGTAGTGATTAATCTAGTGGAGTGGAGATAGTTAACCTTCCTACGACATCATAAGTGCTTCTTTTGAGTTGTAATAAATAACCACTATTCAGTTGTCTGCTGACTGTTAGAAATAATTTAGTAAGTTAAAAATCATTATTTAAAAATGATGACCAGAAGACTTCTAAAATGAAACCCAAGTGGAAGAGTGTGTTCTTTTTTCTAATTAAGGTTTTTACTGTAGGGTACATGTACTCGCCAAAGAGAGAATGTGAGAAATCACCCCACAGCGGGGATGGCCATGCCGCAATCCTGTCTCCATTCTCCTAGGATTTTGGGTACGCATACAAAAGCTCCTGGAGTGATTTTTCAAGCTGTCAGGTCCAGGCCTTGAACCATGGTCTGCCATGTGGGTATTCAGCACCATAACCACCATGCCACCTGCTGGCCCTATGCATTTGTTTTCAAAAGTAAAATCCTGTTTATTGTTGTCACTACTGAAAACCTGACTAAATGGAATGTTTTAGTCTAAAAAATTGCTCTTTTAACCCAGATTATTTTTGTCTAGGTTGACAAAATTGTGTAGATATTTTCTGTTTGTTTAATTTAGAACCCAGTATTGTTTTCATTTGAGCATTTTCATAGTGTTTATGTCTGACCTGGCAGCCATGCTGCTAGATATTAGTGGAACTGACTTTTAACAAAATTAATCGTTTTCAGTTCCTAAGCGAGTACATAAATTGAATAAATGGTATGACAAAAAGTAAACTTGAGAACTGAAGCCAAATTAAAATGACTTGTAGATTAGTATAACTTTCTTTAGTTTAATTTGACCACAGAGGGACTGAGTGAGCGAGAGAGAGAGATAGCCGGAGTGGCGGTGTGGGGAGTGAGAAAGCAAGCCTCCAGATCTTGGACTCGTACTGTGGTCTGCCTTGTGGGAGTCCTGCACTCTTAGCCACCACACCTCCTGCTGGCCCCAAGTATAACTTTCTTTAAGTGGAATGTCTTGCAGAAACACCGTTGGGCTATAACTATAAAATGTGGAATTCTAAAACTGGGAAATGGTTTAAAAAATTCTCTATCTTATTCCAACTTTTCTGAGAATTGTACCTAACCCTTCCAGAATAACTGTTGGGGTGTCAGTGAAGTCATAACTCACTCATTTTGCATAGAAAAATATGTCATGACTTTCCCAATGATCTAATATTTGTCCTGTTCCTTAAGTACAGAAATTTGCATGAAACCTTACTGTACTCTTTAATTACTTTTCTGGTTAGAATTATGTCAAAACTAAATCTCCCTTGTTGCAATGTAAGTTTTTTTCATTTGCTTATGTCCTTCTTGGAGATGGAGAATATCTAGTAAACACCTTCTTAAAGATGTCAGAAAGCATCTATTCAAATCACTGAAAGTTTTTAACTGTTTAAATGTAAAAATGTTCAATTTAATGGGTTTATGTCCTTTAGTGTAGCCTAATTGGTTTATTTTTCAGGGGAAACCAGCAGGATTTGGGGTAGATATTATATATGATTTTTAAAAAATTGTGGTAAAACGCACATGAAATTTACCATTTTGACTAATTTTTAATGTACAGTGTGGGTACTATTAATAATTTACACTCATTCTGGCCCTCAGAGTTAATTGTTTCTATTTATGTGTTCAAAGTGAGTTTTTCTTTAGCAGTTGTAATACACTTCCAAGTTTTTAGAGGACGCGAACTTAGGGTTTAGTACTAGCCTTATTTCTCTGTATAGTATTAATAAGTTTTTTTTTTTTTTTTAAGAGGTTTTTGCCTTAGGGCTTGTGTGATCACTAGAGACAGAGACAGTGAAAGGGGAAGTGACAGGGGAGATGGCCATGCCACAATCCTTTCTTCTTCATTCTCCTCCTGGGATCTTGGAAACACACACAAACTTGACGTGAGTTTTAAGCCACCTTGTCTGGTACTCTAACCATGGTTGGCCATGTAGGAGTCCTGCGATATAACCACTACGCCATCTGCTGGCCCCTAGATAGAATATTTTTTACTAGCATATGGACAATGTTATTTCTCTTCCTCTTATTCATTAGGCTAGTGTTGTGCAGTTTTAATGTTGTAACATCCTAGGTGGCCTCCAGGTATCTTCCAGGAGCAGAGTGTATGTTTTGGAATAGCACATGGATTCACTATGAAAGGGACAGATTTTTTTCCCTTTTTTTAAGAACAGTAAGTTGGGAAAAACATTTTTTTAAATGAATTATTTTATTTAACTTTATTAATCCATTTACTTATTTGTTTTCTTTTGACCAGAGAGGGACAGAGTGAGTGAGTGAGAGAGAGAAAGTGAGAAAGCAAGTCATCAGGTCTGGGACTTGAACTGTGGTTGGCCATGTGGGAGTCCAGCAC